CACCTGTTTTTGTAAATAAAGTTTTATTGCAACGCAGCCACACCCTTTCATTCACGTACTGTCTCTGGCTGCTTTCACATGGCAGAGATGCAGAGTTGTGACAGAGACCCACTGGGCCACAAAGCCTAAAATGTTGACTCGCTGGCCTTTTCCTGCATGTTTGCCGTCCACTGCCATGGATGTTTTTCATCGTATGCTCAAGCATCCTAGGGAAGTATCCTCTCCACCTAAAGACAACACTCATGATGGGCTTTTTCTTTGGTGGGGTGTTTAGTGTGCTGATGCTGATTTGGGGATTTAGAAATGTTTTTTTAAAAAAAGAGATTCTGCAGTAATTAGGTTTCTCTTATGCAGGGAACATCTTTTGAGAAGCGACATTTCAGTGACATGACAAGCCTCAGACTCTCCGTGAAAGGGAGATACAGGCCCCTGGCACCGTCTGCCACCTGTGGAGAACTGCAGCTCTTGGAGCCAGGGGGCCTTCCACAGACTCCCGGGGGCCAGCTGGGGTCCCCTGCGCCCACCTTCTGGCCACCCTCCCTGCTCTGCTCCCCAGACGTCTGAGGGAGAGGAGCAGGTGGGACCGCACAGGGCAGGGCTGGGCTGGGAGGGACCTCCCTCGCGGGAGTTTCTTTCTCCGTGACGTCCCCGTCAACATCATCCCCCCCATCACCCCCACCTTCCATGAGTCAGGGTGGAGCCATTTCAAACCTCAGGCAGTGGCAACACGTCTGCCCCCCTGGGGCCACAGCGCCTTGCAGGGAGGGGATCCTTTCAGTAGACCACGGAGCCTAGTCCTGAGTTCAATGAGGTGTTTATACGTGGCCTATCTTGAACGCTTGGAAAATTTGCATAACATGTCACTGGGGACGTGTCTCCCAGAAACAAAACGCAGGGAGCTTTTCAACCGTGAAGGTTTTCATTTCTATGAAGGCTCTGGGAGACCTCACACATGACGTGGCTGGGGCAGGGACTGTAGGCGCAGTGGAGTTGCTCAGCACACACTAACGGTAAATCCTGCTTGACTATGACACGTGGCGCCTGCAAGTGCACCTCCCGCGTTTCCTACCCCCCATAGTGATGCTTCCCATTGGGGTGGGCACCTTGCTACAAGTCACACCGCCACCGAGTGGGTCTGCCTTCTGGGTATCAGATATTAAAGTGGATTAGTGTGTCCAGTCCCCAGAGAGGAGGCTGTGATCTCAGAAGATGAAAACTCTCAGCAGAATCCTGGGGTTGGCTTGAAAGTCACCAAACCACCTAAGATACGCCCAAACTCAAGAGACAATAAAGTAACAGAGACCAAGAGCGTGCTCGGAGGCCAGCGCTGAGCCCTTCGTGCAGGTGAGCACACTTAGTGGAGCACCACACAGAGAGAGGTAAAGACCCAGAAAACACGTGTGGGCACTAGGGGGACCGGGGGCAGAGACGGGGTCCAGGAGCAGGGGATGTGGCTCTGAAGGGTGTGTGCACAGCAGAAGCGGATCAGGGGCGGCTCGGTGTCTGAGGCCCATGTTGCTCCAGGAGTGAGGGTGGCCTTCTGTGGGGCATGGGAGTGGAGGGAGCGCTGTCCTCCAGCAGAGCTCGGCAAGCCTTTTCCACAGAGGACCAGAGAGTCAACGTGTGAGGGTTGCGGGGCAGTCTCCGGCACAGCTCCTCAGCTCTGCTGTGTCGCATGACAGTGGTCGTGGACGATTCATAAATAAGTGTTACAGACTGAATATCTGTGTCCCCAAACTTCACATGCTGAAGCCCTACGCCCCAGTGGCATGGTATTTGGGAGGGGGGACCTTTGGGAGGTGATTAGGCTTAGATGAGGTCATGAGGGTGGGGCCCCCAGGATGAGATTGGTGCCCTTGTAAGAAGAGGAGGAAACCTGTCCACCATGTGAGCACACAGCGAGAAGGCGGCCGTCTGCAAGTCAGGAAGAGGGCTCTCACCAGACACCAAATCTGCTGGACCTCGATCTTGGACTTCCAGCCTCCAGAATTGTGAGAAATACATGTCTCTGGTTGAAGCCCCCATCTGTGGCCCGAGCAGACCAAGACAACAAGTGAGTGTGGCTCTGTGCCAATAAAACTTTATTTACAGACACTCAAATTTGAATTTTATATAACTTTCACGTGCCATGAAATATTCTTTTGTTTTTCTTCCAACCACTTAAAAACATGAAAACCATTCTTTGCTCCGGGCCACGCAAACACAGGCACAGGGCAGATTGGGCTGCGGGCTGCAGCCGTTTGCTGACCCCTGTCCCAGAGCAAGGAGGGAGGCCACCCCGCTTCACTCGCTGCTGCCCACAACCTGAGATACTGCTCTCGGTTCTGGGCGCCTCTGTCGTTTTCCCAAAGATTTCAGCAAATTGCAGCACCTGTGAAGGAGGTAACCGGGAGTTGATGTTCAGAGAGAGGCTGTACCAAGGGGTTGCTCACTAAGGGCCCAGACCTTCGAGTCAGACCCTCGAGCAGCAAATCCCTGCTCTGCCACTTACCAGCCGGCTGACCTCGGCCTCAGCGTCCTGGTCAGCACAATGGACGCAGTCACCCGGCTGGCCTTTAAGGTTTTGTAGGGTTCCGTGAGATGGCCGTGTGAAGCATGTTGCGTGACGTTGGCCTAAAAGATATTTATTAATTAAGTCGGGAACCTCGTGTGGAATCATTGAAAGAAGCGACATCGTCTATTCTCGATGGGGCGGGTGAGCGATGCCAGATATCCTCAACTGCTCGAAGGAACGCCGCACGACAGAGAGGCCAGATGCATCTGTCTCCAGAGAGCGGAAGTAGGCCAGCGGGTAGAAGTTACAAAGAAGGCAGTTTCAAATCAACATAAAAAGGACCTTGGTCATCATTTCAGTTGTCCCCAGGGGAATGGTCTGCTCAGAGTTTCCTCTGGGTGGAGACGTGCGAGACCCACTCACGGGGAATCATGTGTCTGCAGAGCCCTGGACCCCGCCTCAGTGCTCCTCACGCTGGGAGAGTTGAGGACGCATGAACCCAGTTCTCTTGCTACACTTGGGAGATGTGCCGCCCCCGACCCCGAGTCCTGGCCCAGAGGAATGTGAGTTACACTGAGGCAGATTTATTATTACTTGCTCCTTAAGTTGTGGAAATACCTAGAACCACTGTGAGGTACGCACTTAGCAGGAAGATATTTTTGGTGGTCCCAAGACCAGCCTGGACACCACCTTGTTCTGTGGTTGAGTTGGGGGCCAGTACAAGACTACTTGCTGCACAGGTCACCCCACACAGGCCTTAGTGTTGCCACCTCCTGCCCCCCTGATCTGGCCTGAGATGCACCCCCATCCCCCAGCATCACTTCTGCTGAGAATGGCAGCAGAACTTGGGAGGCAGCCTCCTCCATGAGGAAGAACAGACCAGGGAGTCTGTCCCTTTCCCTCAGGAAAAAAAAAACTTTCCTGGAAGCCCCCCCTACCAGGACTCTGCTGATAGACCACATCCCGGGCCACGCTTGCTGGAGGATAATTCAAGATTGGGGCTCATGGGCGGCATGATCAGTCAGCAACTCGCTCTGCCGTGTTTATTGATCCAGCTTCATTCTGTGGCCCAGACGCGTCGATGCAGAGGGGGGCTGCTCATTGACTAGATGAAGTATTTCTAACCTCAACACCCAGCATTTAATAGTCCTCTACCTTCCTGATCCAAAGTAACTTTTTAAAAAGGAGTTGGCAAATACTTGAAGAAATACGATTTACTTTTAGGGGCCAGGAGTGGAGCTGCAGTCTGAGATCTGAAGTCTGGTTCGCTGTGGCTAACACACTGCAAAGCAGCTGGTGAGGTTGCACGAATTCATTTGAAATGTTCGACTTTTACTTGCTGCTCAGAGATCTGGGATAGCAGTGAATGAAGTCTGCGTTCCATGGACCCAGAGTCTGTCCTGGTGGGTGGTGGAGGGTGCTCTCCTGAGTCAGGCCTGAGGGGGCCCCAGGGCAGGGGGAGGTCGCTGTGTGGATGGAGGAAAGAGCCCCAGTCTGGAGCCAGACACACCTGGGTCCTGTCCCAGCTCTGCCATGGATGGGCCAAGTGGCCTTGGGTAGTGTTTAGGATCCGTGGGCCTCGGTGTCCTCGTCTGTAAAAGTGCTCTTGCCTGTGGGGGTTAAGGGTGGGAGGGCTGGGTTGAGACCCAGAGGGGCTCAGCCATGGGATCCGCCCCCAATCTCCCTCCTGGTTTCTCTTTGTTTTCCATTTTCCCATTTGCTCTCCTTCCTCCTCCTCCTCTCTTCTCCATCCCGCTCACCTCTGACGCCTCTGCTTTCGTCACTCAGTCATGAGATACTTACTGAGCACCCAAACTGTTACTTCTCCCTTTTCTTTCCTGCGTCTCAATCTTGCTGGGACCCAGTGGCACTTCCCATCTGATGCACAGGAGCTGGGCTGGCTGACTCCCCGCCCAAGGCTTCAGAGCCCCGGGCCCACTCCACTCCCCGGAACCAGGCTGGAGACTCAGTCCAGCACACGTGGCCGGCACAGACAGAGACGGAATGTTCTCTCTAAGTCCTCCCTTTGCCTCACTCCCCCAGGTGGGAGACCTCCCCAGGAAGGAAGGGCGGAGCAGGGAGAGGCTATGGGGGGGGGGGGCGGAGAAAACCTCCCATGGAGGGGGATCCCTCCTCCCCTGTCCTCTGGGGCCACCCCACCCCCCACGTCGTCTGCTTGCACCTGCTGTGTCCTGGCACAGTGCACATCCCCTGGGACTGGGGGTGGGACATGGGTGAGGCAGAGCCCTGCCCCAGGTTCACTGTCTGGGTGGGGAGATCTTAGCAGAGCACAGCTTTGGAGTCAGCCAGCCCTGGGTGTGAATCCTAGCCATGGACCTGACCTCTCTGACCCTCAGTGGTCATCATCTGTCGAGTGGAGAGGGCAGCAGTACCCCTCCCAGGGCTGTGGGGACGACCAGATGAGGGGACACGGGTGAAAGGCATGTAGCCCGGCCCTGGCACAGAGCTGGCGCCAATAGGCAGGAAGTCTTCAGCATCACAGGGACTAGCTGTGGCTGCACATGTGTCCCCCTCCGTCCCTGAGAAGGGCTCGCAGCCTGCCTGGGAGGGCCTGCCCCTGCCCTGCACAGCTGATGCACTTCCAGGAAGGTTGGAGGTGTCTGGGGCCTGCCCCGGGGCGCTTCTGGGCCTGGAGGCCACACCCAGCACCCGCAGGGGCCCTGGCTTGCCAGGCATCCTCCACGCTGCGTCGCACTTGCTGCCACCAACTTCCTGGTCGGCCCTGGTCCTCAGTGCTTGCTGTGCAGCAGTCGGGTGACTTCGCCTTCCACCTCACGCACGTGAAAATGGTCTTGTTTCCGGCCGTTCTGATCCAGGAGCAGGTACTGGGGTGTTTCAGAGACCCTGTTTCCCAGGACGGGTTTTGTGCTTGAGTGGCGGGCACCAGGGCTTGGGTGTTCCCTGACGTCCGGGGTTGATTGGGCCTGGGCCCCGTGCCCCCACAGGACTGGCTGCAGCCAGGGTGGGAGCTGCCCCTGCAGACGCCCTGCCAGACCCAGGCAGAGCCCGCGTGGCCGCCTGTCACAGTGGCCCAGCAGAGCGGCTATAGCGTCTTCCCTGCGTGCCCAGTGACTGCTCGGGCGAGGCGGGGGGAGCGTAGTGGCCTGGCACCCAGAGGAGATGACTGACAGCAACACAGCTCTGCCAGCCGGGGCTGCTGGCTAGTGCTTTCATCCCTGGGGCGGTGAGACTGGAGGCGCCTGGAGATCAAGAGTGCCGTGGGGCTGCCTCTGTGGGGTGGGGGGTGCCTGCAGGCTCCTGGGGCGATTCCTGCCCATCTGCTGACTCCGGGAGACCCTGGCCTGGGATTTCCCATGTCTGGGTGGAGAGTAGTTTCGCGGGCAGAAGAAGTGAGGGTCCTTGCCTTAAAAACAAAGCGAATGGGTCCCCACCCCTCCTCTCTCCTGCAGGGCTGAGTGCAGGGCAAGGGGGCCGGTGGCTGGAGGACCTCTTGAAGCCCTTCCCCACCCTGCAGTTGTTTCCTGGAAGGGCGGCCTGTGGTCACCATGAGGGGCAGGAGGGCAGGGGTGGGCAGGGAGCTCCTGGTGCCTAAGGGGCTTCCTCCCTGCCAGGAAAAGCCGCCAGCACTTCTCGGTGAGCGTCTTCTCCCTACCCCCCTCACTCTCCTCTCCACTTCTGCGCCCAAGCAGGATATTGGGGCAGGGTGTGGTCACGGTGGGAGGCTAGGGTGGCTAGACGGGGAGGAGGCTGTGAGCTTCCCGGCTGGGACAGGAGGGCTCCCCCGCATTTGCTGAATGAATGACTGAAGGGAGGCCTGTGGCCTGAGCACTCAGGAATGGCTATGGAGATTCTGGAGCACCCCTGGGCTTCCGTTCCCTGCGTCTTGCCCTGACTCGCTGCAGCTCACGCGGTCTGTAAAGCGCGGAGGCCACCTCCACCCGGCACCAGGTGAGGGCCCTACACGCTTCCCCCTGTGGTTGCTGGGATTGGGATGGAGCTGCAGGAGCCACGGGGAGATAAGGTCCCCCACCCCCATGGTCCGAGCCTCCGTTCCCTCTCAGGGAGGGAGGGCAGCTGTTCCCAAGACTGGGGGCCTGTGGCCACTCACCCAGCAGACCTCCTGCCATCGCTGTGCACAGGCTGACATAGCCGGGAGCCACAGCGATGCTTCTACTTCACTTGGAAGGCACCCAGCCCACAGGTGCATGGAGAATGGCTGTGGGTATGGGTGGGCTGTGTAAGTGGAAAGGCATTTCAACGTTGCTTTGGGAAAGTTGGAATTTTTTGGCTATGTTTTTTTTTTTAATTGTGACATTAATTAGATATGAATGGGGACTGTCCCTGCAACAGTCTAGACCTGGGCTCTGTGCTGGGTTGACTTGTTGTTTGTAATCAGGGAACAGAAATTTGAATGTTGCTTTGAAAAGATTGAAATTTTTAGCCTGTGATCTTTTCAAGAAATTCTTACTGGGGCACTAATTAGATGTATGAACAGACACTCTGTCCAGTAGTCTGGCCCTTGGGCTCTGTGGCTTGGTCCAGATGCTTGTGCTGTTGTCTAACCACGTGAAGTCCACACTGCTTAGTGTCGGGTTGGCGGGTCACCATGCCACCCAGCTCCCCCTGCTTAAGCCTCGGGAACTTGGAGGAGAACAGGTTTCTCTGTGGCAAAGTGCAGGCGGCCCTGGCCCTGACCCCCAACCCCTAGTAACGTATGCACCGTTCTCTTCCCACCCCATCTGAATCTGAGCAAGATCTGGATGGGGCTGTTTGGGAACTGGGTTATTGAACTCCAGACCCCTTCCAGCACTGGACCTCTCTGCTTGCTCCCCAAGACGACCCCACAGGCAGAGGGGATACCCCAAGAGCACTCAGAGTCAGCAGCCGCCGTGGTCAGTAGCACTCGCTCTTCACCACCAGTCCTGCTTGTAGGAGAGGAGTGGGCTCCCATCTCGGGGAGCCTGGCTTCTGGGAGGGAGAGGAAGGGTGTGTTACGCAAGGGCCCTTCCGGATCTGTGTGGTTTCGAGCAGTTACACCTCTTCCTGTCTCTTCGTGAGACGCGCGGTCGCCGCCGTGGCCCCTATAGTCTGTGGCCCCATAAAAGGTGGTGGTTTGGGGCCGTGTAGTCATAGCAGCACTTCAGGGCTGTGGCAGGAGGGATTTCCAGGGTTCAAGAAGCAACATACAAAGTAACATCAATTTAGGAAGCAGGAGTTTGAGTCTCAGCCCTGAGCCCTGAGGCTTCCAGGAAGAGTGCCCCAACGTTGTCACACCCAGGCAGCAGGAGTCGCTCCTCTGCTCCCCCTCAGTCCATGTTCAATGAGCATCTACTGTGTGCCTGGCACTGCTTTGGGACATATCGGTCAACAGAAGAGACAAAGCTCCCTGTCCTGGCAGAGCCGACATTGCATGGTCTCAGGGGGATACAGGGACAGAGTAAATGTGGGGAATAGTCCATCAGCGGTGCTGCAGTAGTGACCCCCACGATGGCCTGCAATGGCCCTGTCCCTGGTCCTCACGCCCTCCCTTGTAGTATTAGGGTTGGTCTTTGCAACCAATAGAACAAAACCTCTGAGCCTCTGTCACAAAAGACATCGCAGCTTCTCTCTCTCGATCCCTCACTCCGGGGAAGCCAGCTGCCTTGGTGTGAGACATCCAGGTGGTGAGGAACTGAGGCCCCTGCCCACAGCCATGTGCACGAGACATCTAAGAACCTCTGTCTGCAGTTGAGCCTTCAGATGAGACTGCAGCCCCAACCAATATCCTGACTCAACCTCAGGAGAGACCCTGAGCCAGAACCACCCAGCCAAGTCAATCCCAGATTCCTGACTCTCCAAAACCAAGTGAGACATGTTTATTGTCTTAAGCTGCTAACCCTTGTCACGTGGCAAAAGATAACTCATCTGATGTTATTATTCTTAAGACCTCAGCTATCTAGGAACAAGCCTTCTGGAACCTTTGAGCTTCTAGATGATCCGGAATTGGGATGCAGCCACAGAAGGCCTAAGAAGCACAGGTTCCCCCATGACACTGAATCATATCTGTGCATGGCTGGTCACATCCGTAAGAGATTAGCCTTTCTTCTGGAAAAATGGAAAAGATGAGAAGCCTTCTGAGAGCAAAGGAGAGAAGCAGCAAGGGGAAAGCAGAGATGCTATAGGAAGCCTGAGGATGCATCTGTGCCAGAGCGACTTCATTTGCCTTTTGCACGTGGTGCAAATGTCCAGGAAGGAGCTGTGATCAGCAGCTTTCCCAGAAGCACCCCCAGGCCTTGGGCCAGCACCTCCCCTCCGCCAGGGCCAGGCACAGGCAGATCCCAGCTCCTGTGGCCGTCACTGTGCACCCTCACCTGTTAGCACCTCAGATCCTCCCCCGACTCGTTATCATCCTGTTTCACAATGAAGAAACTGACACTTGGGAAGGTTGAGAGATTTGCCCAAGGTCATCCGCCAAGAAATGGGGGAGTTAGGACTCAAACCGAGGGCCAGGTCTGCACCCCGACTGGGCCTCACCTCCTCTCCGACACCTGGAGTGGTCTCCTGGGGTCACCCAAGGAGGGTGGAGTTATGTCATCAACCCAGCCCTAGAAGAAGATAGAAATGTGCGATAGGCTCTGGCAAGATTTCAATTTAGAAACAGTTACCCTCTTCAGTGCTCAAAATACTAACTTCAGGGGCCGCCCAGTGGCGCAGCGGTTAAGTGCGCGCGCTCCACTGCTGCGGCCCGGGGTTCACAGGTTCGGATCCCGAGCGCGTACCAACGCACCGCTTGTCAAGCCATGCTGTGGCGGCGTCCCATATAAAGTAGAGGAAGATGGGCACGGATGTTAGCCCAAGGCTAGTCTTCCTCAAGAAAAAAGGGGAGGATTGGCATCAGATGTTAGCTCAGGGCTAGTCCTCCTCACAAAAAAAAAAATACTAAGTTCAGATGAAGAAATCTCACTGAATAAAGGTTTCCACTGCCCAGGTTTTCTTGTGCTCCAGAATCTACAGTGGGGAGACAAACATGGCCTTCTTTCCAGTAGCTGGAGGTAGCTCCCGGCCACCCACCAGAGTTAGAATTTAATTAGGATGGCCCTGACGATGGAAGCACAGCAGAATGTTCTCCCAGGACTGCTAAAGTTAAAACTCCACCCATCTTCTGTAAAACAGTCCCAGTGGCAGGCCATTTATGACACATTCATGGTCGGCTGGCTCCACGCTGCAGGGCACTGGCAATGCCTGGTCTAGACCTGGTGGCTCTGGCATGTGCAGCCCAGCCTCTTTAGACCAGAGGGGTGGTCTGGGGCAGGTTCGTCCATGACAATGGCAGAGGCTCCAGGGAAGGTCTTCTATGGCCAAGGCTGGAGCTGGTGCATCACCATCCTGCTCACTCTCCGTTGGCCAAAGTGTCTGTGCATGTGCATGTGTGTATGTGTGTGCATATGTGTGTGTGTTGGTGGGAGGTGGCAAAGTCACCCAGCAGAGGACATGTATACTGGGAGAAGTGAGGAATGGGGCCTGATGGTTCGATCTCCTGTACCCTCTTACCCTTCCTCTATGCAAATCAGATGCCAGCTCAGTCAACCAGAACATCTGGGTAACCAGCACAGGTGGTTCCCAACCAGGCCCAATCAGAAAGTGTCTTCTATTATTTTGTGTCCCTGTCCTGCACTCATGGGCTTGAGTCTGACCTTTCTTTGTAGTTTCTCAGTTTAAGCTGCATGTTCATTTTCTTCTCTCTCCTGGGTGCACTGAATTCTTCCCATCTCATGCAAGGAGCTCTGGTCAACTCTGAGAGGCTATGGATTCCGTCTTGAATGCTGAATCTGAAGGGATCAGAAAGAGAAGGAGGGAGGAAGAGAGGGTGAGAGAGGGAGAG